AGACAGTAACATCACAGGAACTGGTGAAGTGGTACCAACCTTGCACTCTTCATATACTCCCCCTGAGAGTACTAACCAAACACGGCAATTCCATATATGAACACACTGATCACAGCAGACAACTCAGATGTCATCCTAATAAACAGCATCAGGAATTTCTTGCGTGACACTGAGCACCCATTCATACATGTGTATCTTGATCAGTTATAGAACCAAACTTTGTCCCCATAGACACACACACGGGGAAAAAAACATGGAGAAATATTTCAGTGACTGCCACTAAAGAGCACAAGCCCTAGGGAAAGGCCACCCCTCCCAAAGAGATTCCATTGAGTTCCGCAAGTCAGAAGCAAAAAAACCCCAAACCCCTGTGCCACTTCCACCCAGGCAGCTTTGAAGTTTTGCATGTTTAAATCTTAAATCCTGCAATCCAAAGAGACCAGAGCCTCCGGACAAGAAACCTAACACAGAATGAAAAATATAAACCACTTTGAAACACTTTTGTCTCTTCATTTCCAGTAAGTTGCTGTACTTTTGCTTTGGTAACCGTACTTGCACTTACCTGGTTTAAGCAAAATCATGAATAAAAAACTGACATTCGGCTTCCAAACACTATTAATCAGCTAGAAAGTGATAATCCACCTGAATGAAATAACATCATCAACCTACATGCATAAGGAAGATTTAAGGCTCCAGGCTGCAGATCCAGTACCACGCAAATTTGGAACTGGTAGAAAGAGACATTGCAATTGCTGGAACACTCCACTGGTAAGAATGAAATAAAACAATTTCACTATGAAGAAGGAAATGATTAATCCTGAGCAAAAAACAGAAAAAAATCTGTGTCCCTTTAGTTGGCTGAAGGATTCTGACTCACACCTGTAGGAACGGATGAGTAGAAGAGAAAACAACTTTGATTCAAGCTTTACCAGAGAATAAAGATGATTGCCCTAGAGATTCAAAATAGAAAAAGAATTGTGCCATTCATATTTTAAATGCTAGGAAGTATCTGTTCTTTCTCTTCTCATACTATTATGATAAGGAAACTAAGAATAACTGGTCTTACAGCACCACATTGTAAGGACTTGAATTTCTTTTTACCAACTTACAGTGCACGTTGCAAACGTGTAGATCTCGGCTGAGATGGCCACCTCTGCTCCCGAAACATATGATCTCACCGTATGCAGGCTGTCCTTGCAACAGTTTGACCCCAGATTGCCAGCGGGCCTCAAGTTCAGTGTTGAGACTTCATTTCCCAGAAGTAATATGTGAAACATTAAATAATGAAGAGAGGCATAATAGAAAGGAACGATGTATCCATCAGTATTTGGCTTCCTGAGGATGCAGACCATGTAAATGCTCCACAGGCAAAGAAATCTCCCAGTGCTGCTTCACCTTTCCAGTCCATGTAACACCGAGTTACAGCACTCCAAGAGGGTTCCTAAGTTTCGGTTCAGTTAGCCAGCTGCAGGCTGGCAGAAATATTAGGAACCTTCACAGCAAAAAGCACAATTCGCCTCCAACCCAGATCAACCATATTTTCTTCAAGTCCCAAGGTCATTCCAATACTGTCTGGGTTTTGAAAATTTTGTCACAGCAATACTAATAATAAAACAGCACAATCGGTTAAGGTAAATTCTGTCCAAAGGGCATGACATGATTCGCCATGACAGATGCACTAAATAAACGGATAAAGAATAATTTTCTTCTGGTAACAATAAAATAATTTACATGGCAACAAGCTCTTGCACAAGCTGAATTACTTCATTCCTTTGAAAAGGGTTCTCAGAGCGTTCCAATGATGTTGAAATCTTAAACTGGGAAAAACTGATTTGGGCTGCAACATCATGTTTTTCTCTCTCATTTAAAAGCACGCTAATGACAGACTATTCTTCTTCAGAAGCACACTTGTGACTTAAAAATCAGGGTTCTTCATAATTTTTAACTATTCAACTGGACCGGAATCTGGCTTTTTGGTGATAGGTCAATATATTTGTTTCAGTGTAATATTACAACTCAGCTTTTCCAAAGTGAACCTTTCACAGAAGCCGCTACTGACACCCTACTCAGAATCTCCACACTATCTAAATGGTTGTTCGGAGATTAAAAGGCTTAGAAATAGTTTAAAACAACGCCTTACAAACAGACAATAAGGGCTATGTATTTTCTCTACCAACAGACACACAAGAAGAAATCAATGGACAGGGTTCACAAAGATGATTGAAGGGAGGTCCAAAAAAACCTACCAAATCTAACTTGGTGGGTGACATAGTGAAACTCTAACTTGTACCAATATAAATTCTTCCCTTCTAAAGACTGGGAATTAATAATGCAAGGTAAAGTTGTTTATCCATCTTGATGTAAATATTTTTAAAAACTCATTATGTTTCCAAAGCTGATATAAAATTCTATGTTGTATTTTCACTCTTTCATGCCATAGTCAGACTATCATGCTTAATGAACAATCCTCCAGTAAAACACCTTACTGAAGATGACAACTAAACTTCATTCACATTGCAGCAGCATGTCTGAGGTTGCACATGCCCTTGCAAAAAGCATATGCATTTCTACCCTGAGCCGAGTAGTTTCGATATTAAAAGAGCAGGTGGTCTTGAGAAAAAACTGAAATGCCATAAGAAACTGTAATTCAGAGAAAATACTCTTCCAACAAGTCAACTTTTCTCAAGAGGTAGCAACTCCATTCTGCAGCGGCTGATGACATTTTTTTGCTCTTTAAAGTACCGTGCACTGCACAGAAACAGCCCAACGTAGAGTTAATCACAACTGCACGCATGGGCAAAGAGGGATCATTATCCAAGAGTGCTAGATGCATATTCTCCTATTCAGCCATCAATGACAGTGGGGATTCTTCCTGCTCAGCACTGTAAAAGATTCTACTGCCAGTATCAGTGAGCAGATGATGAGTAAGAACTAAATCAGGATCAAAACTTGCTGGATTCTGTAGCGAAGGCTTTTCCAGATGAAAAGCAAAATCACTGATCACTTACTCTGACTACGACTATCTAGCTATTCTCAGTTCTGTCAGCAGCAATGACGATTTTTTCCTTTTCTTCTCTTGCTGAAGGACTAGAGTATGTAGAATCTGCTACAGGCTGTACTTCTGGCATAAGTTATTTGAGAGCCACTTTCCATCAAGCAGATGAAGACTCACCTGTTAAACACTCAAACCAACTGAAACAAATGGCAAGGACTATGGAATGATATTTCTGTACTACAGAAATGGAAAAGTTCTGATCAGGAAAACGACAAAAAAACCCAAGCCCTTCAGCTGGTTCTGATCAAACGGTCTGACAGTCTGCAACAGTACGTTTCTGTAACCGAACTTCACGTGCATTCTCTGTTTCTAAGTCTACATGCACCACAGAAGAAACAGTGTGACCCCTCTGGGTGTTATCTGCCAAAATCATTTTCAAAGTTGTTAAAAACAGTACATAATATGATCAGTTCTGCCACACGCTATCCATTTTCATGCTCCAGAAATTTTATTTGACCTGGAAAGGAAAACGTTAGAAAAGGATCTGGGTTCAGGTGTATTACCAAAAATACAGACAAAACCATCTTCAATTCTTAGAAGCCAAGAAACAGCATCAATGTCTAACAATGGTGTGCCACAAGACCTCAGGTTTTGTTACAGACAGCTAGGATAGACTGAAAGCTACTTCACATATACCCAAGAGTAACTTCTCTGAAGCAAAGACTGCCTGATTTCCACAGCAGGAAACAATACTGATTTCTTGTTAACTATTAGTTTCCCTTTGCCAACAATTCTGTCGAGCAACATTTTAAAAGGAAAGCATATATGCTACATAATAATGTGTGTATGCAGAAAAAGAGTATTTATTACTCTCCATTTTAAAAACGCTGCATTCAGGGAGCTTGATTTTCTGGTATAAAACACATTCAGGGCATAACACAAGTTCAGCTGTTCCCCTTGTTTACCAAAGAGCTTTCAATCATGCACCACAGATAAGGCTGAGAAACATCTGATAAACCAAAGCACTAGAGTGCCAAATAAAATAATCTATTAGCACCATGGCTCTCCTTTAACAGCAGGAACTACCCTACACCAGAACTAGTTGAGTTTACCAACCTAGATGCAAACCCCAATGGAATCATTCGACAAAAGAAGAAAGAATAGCAGAGAAGAAAATTAAGGACTTCATTTTTTTTTGCCTCAGAAAGATCAGGAGAAAAAAAATCCAATTCACCAGTAAAACAGTAATTTCTCAGACTTAAACACCTTGTCTTGTTACAACATTGTTAATACAGGACATTTGCTTCAAAACCTAAGGACAAAAGAAAAGTTTTCATGAGCAGACTTGATGCTGTGCAGAAGTGATATACCAGCATCTATGAGGAATTTGTAGAACTTCCAGTAGTACAGACTTATTTATCTTTTTCAGCAAGCTGAATGCATTTATTAGAGGAATGGAAGAGTGTAACTTCTGGTCTTTGTTGCTTATTTTAATGACATTTATCTACGAAACAGTGGATTTATGAATGGAATGAAATACCCTTATCAGTGAGGACTAAAAGACACAGTAAGACCAAAACGAATTTTCGAGGCTGCCCTCCAGAGAACTCTGTAGCAATTGTTTTCAAGTTTAGCATTACATAAATGTTTCTCATACATTACTACCTTGAGTATTTCGGAGCCATCCAAAAGAATCTATACTCATGTAGTAATGGAAATTTGACATAATTAAGAAACTAAGGATCCAAAAAACAATGAACACCCCTGCTCTCCAGGAAGAACGAGAACAGTATGACTTCTAAAGGCCAGCAAAACCTGGGGCCCTAATGGAGCTGACTACGAGAAGAAGAGTAGATGATAAACCTAGAAGACAGGACACTTTTCAGAATATGAGCACAGCACGTCTTCCAGGTAAGGACAGTTCTGAGAACTGTCAACATGTGACCACAGACCACATTTAAAATGTCAAACAAAAACCATGCTATATGGTCCACCAAGAACACCAAGTTCATCGTGAAATTTATTGTTCTGCTTCCTAATACAATAAGCTACAAGGTACATACAGTATAAAACGAGAACAGCCACAAAGCAAAGGTGATAAACATTCTGTGACAGTACAGTGGAGGTAACGTCTGTCTAATTCTTCCACTTTATCCCACAAATAGCAGCTAAAACTACTGGCCCTCCCCCTCCCTCCCCTCCAAAAATATTAAAAAGTAAACTGACTCCCTCACTTAGGAGCAGCGGGATTCGTTGGGTTTTTTTGAGGGCACTGGTTATCTGCCAATATCTCAAGAAAACTGCTGAAACTAAAATAACAAAGAAAAACTGTGAAGGTGGGAGTGACATGACCCATGCAAGATGCTCATGACACCTTGGTTCTCTTCTCCCCAGAGCAAATGGCCTGCAAAGAAAGGAAAAGTTTGTTACACTAAGTAAAACAGCACTTAACGTGGTCAGAGTTCAGATAATAGTAAGCAAAATCTGAACTAGACAGGACTAGGCATACAGCTAAACTACTCTTTCAATGAAAACAATCTTCCTGTTAATAAGGTTTGAGATCGATAGCTGACAATCCTCCTCCTGTTATATTTAAATATTGCACAGGAGGGTGCACACTGAAAAGGGCAGAGCTAATACCTATTACAAAGGCTCCAAAACAAAGAATCGTGTCTAGGAGAACTCTAACAATGACATGAACTGCAACATCAACTCTTAAAAACATCAAGGCTATAAACATACAGGAAGACTGAATACTTACCTTAAAGGCACAAAATTCCATTTAACCACTTTTTCAAATATACTTGGTGCGGTTGAGGGCTCTCTCAGCAAGATGACCACTTTCATCTGTTATCTTTTCCCAGTCTGTTTGTCCAACAACAAAACCAATGGCCCTTTTCCTGTCTGCATCTTTTTTTTCTTCTAGGTCTGCCCACCGCACCTATGGAGAACATACTGTAAGTAGGATAATCTAAGAAATCCCATGACAAGTCTAGGCTTCCCACTGCAGATAAAAGAATTCTAATTTCTACTCATTTTCATTCAAACAGTTAAGTATTAATTTGTTTTCCAATAGGCAAAGATGGAAACTACACCAGTAATTCAACATCCCAGGTGCTCCATGGAGTAGAATAAAGATACAGGTAATTTGCCTTTTCCATTTCAGTGCTACAATTCTGAGAGCTTAAGTGTAATTATTTCTCTGTTCAAAGTAATGCTTTCTGCTGGAAAAAATATCAAAAATTCATTTAGTGTCTTCACTTTCTGTACAACTTGTCTTTCAATTACACAATGTAAACATCTGGAAGACTACAAAACTACAGAAGAAAATTTTTAAAGAGCAACTCAGCAATGAATAAGTTTTCTTCTCTATCTTAGAATCAAAGAATGCGTTGGGTTAGAAGGGACCTTTAAAGGTCACCTAGTCCAACCGCCCTGTAGTGAGCAGGGACATCTTTAACTACATCAGCTTGAGAGTCCCATTAAGCCTGACCTTGAAAGTCTCCAGGGATGGGGCCTCCAGCAGCTCTCGAGGCAACCTGTGCCAGTGTTTCACCTCCTTCATTGTAGAAAATTTCCTCTTTATATCCAGTCTAAATCTACCCTCTCATAGTTTAAAACCATCACCCCTTGTCCTGTTGGAACAGGCCTTATATTTTCTGTGACACATTTCTATTTAAATCTTCCCACTATTTCTTTCCACTAAGAGACTTCTTCCTGCATGTTATCTCCCATCTTTACAGCTGCAGCCATCTCCTCTGTGGCTCTTCATGGTCATGCAGATCATCTGCATTCACCTTGTTCAATCATACACAGTCGTTCCCTCACCCACCACTCCAGACCCCAATGGGAGGGAGTGCAACAGGGAGGCAGCGAGGGAGGTCAGGATGAAGGGCTACGGTCCAGAAGCTCAGCTGGAACACACGGGTGCAGTACAAGAAAAAAGAGGAAGTGAAGGGGCTCTTCCTTGACACCCCGAGTGATCAGTCCCATTCAGCCTGATTTCTCACCCAGAGACATAGCCTTATTGTCTTCCTGCCAGCGCCCCCCTATTCCACAGTCTGTCTGGACTTCCCCA